GTAGTTCAATGTAAACGTAGACATAATAATTTGAGTATTCAACAAGATACCACAAATGATGTTTTCTTAGGAATTTATACTGAGTAATATAGATTAACGATGTTCTGGATTTAATTTTTATGACTACATTTATCATACACTCTGAAGAGGATCCAATTCTTGGGATCGAAACATAAATTGATTTTGAATAAATTGAATCTAATCATACGAAGACTTTGTGTTTGGCTTACATTTGGCTGCATTTTTATATCATTTGAAAATTTCTTTTTTTTCGATATAGAATAAAATCGTATTTATTTCAATATTTAATTTAATTCGACAGCTGTCATGTAATATCTTGTTTCATTTTCTGGTTAGACATAATTTAATTACAAATACATGATTATTTATTGCTAGAACACAAAGAAAATTGTCAGTATATATTTTACAATTCTATCGATTGTTGTTTTATTAAATATTACAAAAATTGTTTTATTAAAAAATACTATATTTTAATATACTTTGCAAGAATTTTCTTCTTTATTTTTCTCGCTTGTGATGTTACACTTCAAGATGGCTGCAGTGAGTAGATAGAAGTTTTAAAAGACAACAGAAAAATCATCGCGAGTTATTATATCTTGCAATGTTCGTGACACACGAAATGAGATTCTAAATTTTATCTCTGATAAGAAATATTATTTCTTTATTATCTTCTTTATCTATACAGATTTTTAAAAGATTGAACATTGTGCCATTAAAATTAATATGTGATCTCTTTCTTTAAATTACGAACTCACATGTTTTTTTATTATTCAGGTATTACTTAGGTCGCGTATATCAACTTAAGGTTAAAAAAATCGTTCACCCTGATCGAGCGTGTGAGCGATAAGGGCAGGTGTATCGACACACCTGCGTCAACCTAGATAAGCTCTCGGTTACTCGAACGTTGCATAAACCCCGATTCATATTCTCTTTCGAGAATATATATACATTGTAATAAGAAGTGCTTTGATACAAGTTATATTGTTCTTCTTTAATATTAATTATTTCTTATCACTATTTACGAACATTATCTTCAAACTAATTTCCTTAAAACTAAAACAAAATCCCATTATAATTACTAGAAGTAATTTTGTTTTAGATTTTATAAGTAGATTCTACGATATTATATATATATAAATCTTGTGTCAGCTTTCTTTTTAAAGGAATCTATTATTTATCTTTCAAGTGTCTATTTTTTAACATTTCATATTTTTAAGAATTTAAATTGAATTCTGTTATGATAAAGACGAAAATATAAAATGAATGTATTAGGTGTTGGAATTAATTCGTAGCGTTTTTAATGAAAGAATGTTATTTATTTCACATGAGCATTAAAAAATACATTAATGAAAGTACTTCCCATCACTTGTAAAACGCTACGAATTAATTCCAACACCTAATACTAAAATTATGCAATCTGAGTGTGATGAGAAGGGATGTTCGTCCGAAAGTCACCCGAGGATTTCTCCGGATTCTTCACAAGCGCACAAGAAGGATCTCGTGAGCAATTCAAAATTATTTCTCTTGAAACCTCTCAAAATCGAGGAATCAAGTCAAAAGGCATCAAGCAATCGTCACTTTATCGAATGGCACGAGACGCATCTTATCAGACGATGAAAATTTAGAATCGATCGGAGTTATACACGACTCACCTCCTCCCCTTCGCCCAGTATACGAAATCGTCCCTAATTGTCCACAAATCGACGGCCACCCTCGATTTCCCGAACCGTTAAGTACAACCACCCGAGGGCCTAGGGGTTACCATTCCGCTAGCCCCCCTCGAGACGTCGAGAGGGTTCGGGTTCACCGGGCACACACCCCCGGTAGAATATGGATTCAATTACACCTCATTGTACTGCGGTGTCTATAAACAACGCTGTTTTCACAGCTGATAGTGGCCCATCGCGCTCTGCGGGTCACATACTCCGAGCGTACTGCAAGCACAGCGAACGTACTACACTTTATTTGAGAAGCAGACTTTCAAAATACGTTTTGTCCAAAATTTGTAGTTTTCAGAAAACGAGAAACTAGAACACAAAAGAAAACTATGCACCTTACAGAAAATAATAATATGTTAATAGGATATGAAATATTAAACAAAATTACTTAACAATTGTTAAAATGGTTAAATGCATTTTGTTTATTTCTAGTTGAAAAAAAAATATAATACACACAAAAATGTTTTTTCAGCATATAAATGAACGAAAAAAATGCTTCCTGAATATCTGTGAGTAACTTATAATATATAAGTCGTAGTTCAACAACTACGCCATCTCTAACTAAAAAAATGACATTTTGGACAAAATGCATTTTGAAAGTCTGCTCCTTATTTATTGTTAGATCTACCTGGCTGGCAATTCTAAATTTCAGGAAAAATTTTAACTCTCCTTTTGCTTTTGAATATTTTTACCGCAGCAGGTCTTTCAAATTAATATAGTTATCATTGCGAAGTTAAAATTTCCTATCGAGATTTAATCAATCAATAATTATAAAAATGTCTTAGAAAATGTGTTTGTTTTAATATAAAAATTTAAGGATATTATATATTTTATAGCAGTGTGTTTTCCGAATTAGTCATTATCACTTTATTTTGTTTGAAAAAAACGCGTAACTTTCTCTCGCAACATGGAAACCTTATTGCATCAAATTTATTCAAAATATATTATTGAATCCTTCTAAATTTAATACTCTTCATTCAAGATTATTAAATTAAAATAAAATCGATTTACTTATTATTAAAGTCGTTCCTTCGATCAATTTTATAATAAGAAAAGAAAATAAATTCTTGTTTTGACACAAATTCTTGTTTGTACATATTAATGAGTTTCTCTAAAATTTGTAATAAATATATTTTAACATTATTATAAATTATTATTTATAAATTATAAATTATTAAAATTATTATCAAGATTTAAATGATTTAAAGATTATAAAAAAAATTCTTTGTTAAAATTAATCGCATTTAAAGGAAAGAAAATAAATTTGTTTGAGTAATCATCTTTTTTTAAAATGATATTTTTCTATGCATACCTGGACTTCGAAAGGAACGTTAGCATTATAATGCATATAAAATTTTGCTAAGCAGAGCCTCAAAGTTTTCAAAGTCATCGTCATTCTTCCAGAGTCAGAAGAATCACAGAAGAATTATAGAGTAACGCATAATAAAAGTTACGGCGATAATAAACTCTGTTATTCAATCGGCCAAAGGAGACCATCGCGATCGTAGTAGATCGAACAGTGTTTTACCCCAAGCGAACGTATAATAATGCAATGCAGGATTGAAGTTCCTTATCTTCCGTGTTGCTAGCGGCTTCGCGAAGTTGCTAATGACAATAATGATGTGTGATAATGTCTGCCTCTACAACCGAAGAGAAAGAGAGGGAGATAAAGCGGGAAATGGGAACTCGCCGCAGCGTCGCGAATGAGAAGGAAGAACCGAAGGATCGTGAGAAGACTTGCAGCCGTCGACGCCATTATCCCCGTCGAGTCATAGGGCGCCGCGACGCCGCAATATCGACGTACCGCCCACCGCGTCTCCCCCGCGTCTCCTGCTCTTCTTCTCTCATTGCCATGTCTCTCTCTCTCTCTCTCTCTCTCTCTCTCTCTCTCTCTCTCGAATTCACCCTTGCTAAAATGCAAGGAGCACGTTTTAGAGCGCTATAAACCCTTCGGCGATTTCGGCCATCTTGCTGACACTCTGTTTCAACATAATGTTATCAGAAGTATCTTCGAATCACGGATTACGAAAATCCGGACGAGATTTGATGACTTAAAAGTTCCACGCTGATTCGTCGCAAAAGACGGTATAGTTTGAATAAGTTTCTCAATGTTGTGAAAAGGTACAATAAAACTTTATCCTCTTAGGAGAACAATAAGTCACGATAATGTCGAAATAGCGTTAAAATGAATTGTAAATGATTAAAAAGTGAAAAGGGAAAATAAACTTTTAATGATCATTTTGGAGATATTTGGTATCATGTTGATGTCATGATAACTTATTGTTCTATTTGGATTTTTGTCTCGATTTGATTAAGCTATTTTTTGAAGATTATGTTTATCATGATTTCGATGCAATTCGCTAATTATGTAAGCGTTTATAGATGAAGTACATGCAAAGAATGGTTTACTATTTAAAGATTTAACCAGATAATCTGAATATAATTTTATTGGATTATCAAAATAATTATTTAGATTTCAAGAATGTTAAAACTTTTTGCAGCATTGTTATCAATACTTAGGCGTTCTACATAATTATTTTGATCCAACAAAATTATTTTCAGATTTATATTTCGCTTGAAATTTGCAGATACTTCAATAAAACCGTCGTTTTTGTGTAGTCTTCGAGGAAAGGGAAAGATGAGTTTAATTATTTTTGGCTGCCTGAATGATAAACGCAATAAAGTTCTCAGAACTACGTTTATTTGGCTTTGTTATTCACAGTGGCAATAATGATGCTCGCTATGCATCACCATTACGTCGCGTTAATTATGTATAAACGGTGCTTATCCTATTATAATTCTATTTTAGTAATTTCTATTTACAAGCACGTTCGTAAAAATGTCGCGTACACCGATTTGTATTATACAAAACGGCAAAAACTGAATCGACCATTACAAAATAAACGTCAATCCAATCTCTTCTCAGAAATAAATCAAGGACAAATTATTTTCTTTCAATCAGATATTTCATGGTCATCTTTTAAATTAAATAAAATTCTATTGAAAATATTCAGACTGCAATATTATTTAGAAAATAAGTATTAATGAAATTAAAGAAAAATAAGTAATAAAAGAATCACGATTCCACTTTTAAATTAAAGAGATATTTTTAATTGAAGCTAGTCTTGGTGTTCAATAATATTTATATTGCTACATAATTTGCAAATACATATGTCGCATAGTTTATAGAACTAAAGAATGTATTTTTCAAAATAGAATTCTTAAATTTTAAACTTTAAGATTCTTCTTCTTTCTGCTTGATTTATTATTATTCATCTAATTCTCATTTATAATTGTTTCCATTTTCTAAATAAAAAATTTCTGTAACTCAAACGCGTGTATTTTGCAATGGTTAATTCGATTTACCGTACCTTTTTGATGAAATCGCGAGAGATGTATAAACTGGTGACCATTTTCGTCGTCCAAAAAATCGGAGACCTTCGATGATCGTAAGGTACAAATAACGAGGACCAGTGACTAGAAACATTTCCCTTAGACACTAAATAACACTCTAGATGAGAAATGTTTTCACAACCGTGCGATGTGTCCGATCCTCCGCTTACTCATAAAACGAAATTAAATTCGCCATCTACTCAAACGTCGTCCCATTTTTCGATGTTCGCGGATCTTCTGGCGTCCAGACCTTCGCGTACATCGTGCCGTTCGGCGAGATATCCGATTTTCTCGACCACGAGAGCGAGTGCGAGATGAATGGATTCCCACCGCTACCTGAAAGTTGTAATTCGATGAAAATTAACAAAATTTGGAGTACGCGAAATCGTGATAAACTAAGACCGTCACAGGAATTTTTATCTTAATCCATAGAAATATTATGTTAAATTACTGCCTTCATACATACTCTCTAAATTTTTTGGAGTAAAGTCTTACTCTAAAAAGTGAAAATTGAGCTAGTTTTGGAAAAGAATTTTCTCAAGTTTCAATCTTTAAGATTTTCGCAATATATAATTAGGCTTAAAGATTAAGACTAGTATTCATAATCAGTTCTTGTTTTAAAATCGTCTTAAGTAATGTCTTGCGGCTCTCTGATTGATTCATAACATTTCAAAATTAACTTAAGTCTTGAATATAAGAACTGATGAATTTTGAATATAAGACTATGAATACCGGCCTAAAGATTACCAAGAAATTTATGAATGAATTTCATTGAAAAATCTTTTAATAAACTTTAATCCTTAGGTAATCATATAATACGAAAATGGAAACCTAAGAGTGAGATTTCACTCTGTACAGTAAGATTTACTCTAAAAATTTTAGTAAAAAACAATTTCTATTCAAATGCTTGTAAAATATTATGTCAAATGTTTAACATATTCGAATGTAAATTTAACGTAATGTGAATATATTATTTGAATATTTTGTATTAAATTGATATTCGATATTTCTTAGTGTCAACATAACTAAATTGATAAAAAAACTGCAAATAACATAAAAATAATGTATTTTGAAATATAAATTTTAAGATAGCTGAATGAAATACGTGTTAATTTAATATATCATAAGTGTTAATTTCATCAAAAAATTTGTTTCCATAAATTGTATTAGTTTCATTTTTTGTGTTAATTTTCTCACATAATTTTTTTTGTTATTTGTTATTTTCTAATAAATTCATCTCATGTTAAATTAATGCAAAAATTTAAATGGATCATTTAGAATACATAAAATGTATTAAATTTAATACGAATTTTGCACTGTGTACAATAAACGTCTCACAATTGTTTTTGTAATTTAAAAATATCGAAAATTAAATAGCGCAAAAGCGGAGCGTGTAAATAAACAGAATGATTACGCGCGATTCCCAAAACTTTTAATAATCTCTCAATTATCTCCGGACAATAAATTCACCTCGAAACACCATATATCTGATGGACACCTGTCCTGGAATAAAGGGTAGATGGGTAATTATGATAAATCGTTCTATGATTTCGCGCGGGGTGGAAACAGGTCGGTCCGACATTAATACATTGTGCACATAATATCGAAATAACGTGAAGTACAACAGTGCAATTCTGCATTATCAAAACCGAATCTCGTGGCAGTGTAATAAAAATCGAATCATGGATTCAGCGAAATTTTAGCAAGGTCCGATGTTGTAAACTAAATGTAAACGTATCACTCTTCACATTGAAACCATATTAATACGCTATTGTGAACTTCAAATACATGCATCATGTAAAATGCTCGCAGTTTTTAACGTTGGAATTTTATTTCAATTAATTTACAACTCGATTTTTCTTTCACCGACTCGTTGGAAATATATTTCAGAAAAGCTAACAACGTTTCAGCTTTAATTTACAACATTTTAATTTTGAATAACTTTAATTCTGATCTAATACGTATGTTTAATGCTAAAAATTGAGAAATAAAAAAAAATGAATTTACCAAATTTTTTGTGAAAAGCTTGATGTCAATCTCATTAATCTTTTCATTAATTTCTAAGTTGATAAGAGTAACTTAAAGATACACGATTAAAGATACACAAGTTGATAAGAATACCCTAATATCATAAAAAAATTATTAATTTTATAGTTTTTTAATTTATTATGTATAGTTAAATTTATATTAATTAGACACTTTTATGAAATAGACTCTATTTAATAGAGGAATATAGAAATAACAGACTTTAAGATTTCTGGTTATCTGGACAATATTTTTTATTTTTCAATTCTAGATAAATTTGAAAAAAATTGTGTTAATTTTAACACGTGTACCAAGTAGTTCAATAAAATTTTGTTAATTTAATATAAGATGTATGTATCATAGAAATAATAATATGATATGTATCATAGAAAGTAAACAAATATTATGTATAAAACAAAAAAATGTAACATTGACACAATTTGTAAGCAAATTGTAGAAGCATATTTTTTCAATACAATTAACATTTATAATATATTAAATTAATATATTAGGTGTTGGAATTAATTCGTAGCGTTTTTAATGAAAGAATGTTATTTATTTCACATGAGCATTAAAAAATACATTAATGAAAGTACTTCCCATCACTTGTAAAACGCTACGAATTAATTCCAACACCTAATATTTTATTCATTTATATTAGAATTTATATTTTAAAGTGCAATTATTTTTGTTATCTGCTCAATTACTCGTAGGTTGTATTATTCTCACATTAACACATGTTGAATATCAATTTAACAAGAAATATTTAAATAACATAATCATATTATGTTAAATTAATACTCGAATATGTTAAAAATTTAACACAAAATTTTAATAAGGACTAAGACCATTTCTAATACAAATATAAAATGTTTCTTATTATATAGAATGTTGTGATTATACATGCTTATCCACTTAAAGATTAATAATTTAATAAATGAAATTTTTCATAAATAAATTTTGAATAAAAATTTTTTCCTTTTAGCATCAAATATATATATATATGTAGAAATATTAGTAAATTAATTATCACGTTGCATTAATCGAGAACTGCCCATAGATATATATAATTAAAATTGGCCTCACCACGGACTATGACCTTCTTGGATTCATCTCGACTGGAACATCTCGAGAGACCGCTATTGCCCGTCAAGGGGTCGTTACCCTTGTCCGCCCTGACGAGCTCGTTCAGGAAGTTTATGTAACCGATTGCCAGCTTCAGCGTGTCGACCTTTGACAGTCTCTTCTCGTACGGCAAGGTCGGTATATGAGCCCTCAAGCCCTCGAAGGCATCGTTTATGTTCTGCATTCGTCTTCGCTCCCTCATGTTTGCCGCCTGCCTTTGCTGAACCTGGACCTGTCTCGGACATTTTCCCGATGGTCCGCCACGCCGATTACTCCGACTTCGCCTACGGACAAAAGTAACAAACCGATTGCTGTATGAATTTATAAAGCGATCAAAAATTGTTTATTTCATTCATAATTCATAATTCGAAAATACTTTAACATTACTCATTTATAAAGTATCAACTTTGAACATTTTGATACTTGAAATCATTATTTTTAGAAAATCAATAGCAAATCTTATCGATTTTAAGTCAAAGGACCTCGCACTAATTATATAAAAAATAGACCTTAATGAATTAATTTTTACATATAATATTTAGCTTATTTATTTATTTAGCTATTAATTTAGCTTATAATGCAATAAACAAAAGATGTCATAGACACGAGACTTAATAATAAATAGTTTTTTAGTTATAATGTATCAAAAGTACTCTGTGAATACATATTTTATACCACAATTCAAAAACTATTCGTTGTTGAACCTTGTTCTACAACAGTTTTTGTTTACTATAAATAAGTTAGTTATAAGCTACAAACACATACAATACACATTATATCTGAAAACTAACTTATTTTACCCAATTTTCCGTATAATTAATACGAAATCCTTTAAAGATTTAGCAATTTCAAGATTCAAAGAAGAAAGAACAATTCTGAATATTTTATAAGACCAAGAAAGAAAAAGAAATCTGAGAACTCAAAGGGTGTCTTCCATTTAATCACACAAGTCAATATAAATGTCATTCTATCTTTCTTTGCACGAATAACAAAAACATAACGATACTTTTATCGACTTGTGTCACTAAATGGAAGACACCTGAAGAGAAGTAAGCATATTTTCTGTATAGTACTATGACTATTCTATATTTGAGTCGGAAAACCAAACAAGGGGAAATCAGAAGAAAGCAAGCATTTTTGGAGTACTCACTCCCTCGCGTGATTCTCCTGATCGCTGCTGTAGACACTCTCGTTGTCACTGCTGTTCTCGTCGTAGAGATAGTGCTCGCTACCGCTGGTGCTACCGGTGCTACCGGATGGATGATGGGACGACGGGATCTGCGACGGGATCACTGCCGGAAGCGTTGCCGTTGTAGGTACCCCGCAATGCGGCGGCAATGCCGGGATTGCTGGATTACCCAGGAAGCTGTGCGCTTCATACATGTACTGTCGGTTTATCATATCTCGTTCAAGAGTGTCCATTGAATACATGATGACGGTGTTTAATGTCCGCTTCGCCAATAATCACTCAGATTTATTAATTAAGAGTCTCGCGAATATTAATTATAATATAATTAATATATTTCCTTAATTTAGCGTTCCTTATCGGATCTGAAGATCGCTCACTAATTAACGAAAAATACGACTAGATTGTATGACTAGACGTAGAACGACGAGACTGTCGTGTAACTTACGCCATTTAATTCTTCCCTCTAGACGCTTTGAATGATAATCGTTTAATTATTGGACGCGAGCTTAGCAACTAAATTTCAAATCCTCGTGTCGAACGATTTCATAGTTTGCCGGAATTTCTGATCGTACCTGTGCACCCTCGAACACGTCTCGAGGATTGAAAGATACGATCGACACGTGCCAGCTAGGCGCGTGCAGGATAATATTTCTAAACAGCGGCACGTGTCTTGGCGAACCACTCCGGGCACGTGTTGAGATTTGTCCAAACACTTGTTAACACTTGGTACTCACACCTCGAGATGCTTCGGTTCGTGTCTAACAATGCCACTTAACGACATAACGATTTACTACTTACGAACATCATCCCGATGATCTCTTATATTCGCGATGCATGTCTGTGAGAATAACATCTTATTATATGTTGTTATATTTTTATCCTTTTTTGACTATAAAACCTTCTTATATTTCATGCGGGATTTTAATTTGCTTTCTTACAGTTGCAAAAGAATGATAGAAATCGGGACATTAATTATATCGGGATTCAATTGGTTACGTTGATTTATAATCTTCTCCGTCATTCCGTGTTGTTGCTGATGTTACACTGCTGATGGTTTTATTATATTTAACGCATTGTTTCGTTTATTGTCCGATTTATTACGATTACATTTGGCCATCTTCTCATCATACAGGTTTTATTTTTTTCTGAAATATTTTTAATACGTCATCCTTCAGATTGCATTTTTTGCAATTGCATTTCAATTGTCTTCCCTCAGATTTATTTATTTATTACAGCCATATCGATTTATTTATATTGTCCATGATCGATTTATATTGTCCACGTCTAATTCTTCTAAAAAAATACAGAGATCACTAAGAAAATTCTCATAAGTCTTAATCCTGAAGGAAGTCCCCTAAATTGCACTTTGCAACTGCATTAACGTCTCAAATGTTTGCGGATTGCTGTCATAACTATCGTCTCTGAGTTTTTATTAAAAAACGCAGCGCTGTAATTTAAGATATTTTTCTCTCAAATCTCTCTTTCAATTTCCTTGTTGTTATTTAGTTTCCCTCGCATTCCCACTGACAACTTAGACATTTCCTCATAAATTTGCTCGTCACAAGAAACATCGCTCGTTCCACGATTTTCGTACGATTTTTCGCAGAGTTCACCACCGCGTGACTTCGGAAATATCCCTTAATTATGCTCTTCCAGATGTTTGCCGATTTCGCGCCCAAAAACTGGAACCTTCCGCAGCTTCCTGCCGATCTACAGACCACCTACCGTGCTACCGATCGTTCAGGTGGTCTCTCGCTGGACTAAAATCGAAAAGCGATGAGCAGCAAAGCGGAAGCCATGCCAGGGTTGAAAGCCCAGCTACGACCCCATTCGTCGAGCGCGCGGCTGGCAGAGCCTGCCTACCCCTTGGTTGCTGGGGTAGCGGTGCCGCCTCTTCATCGATCTGATAAGGAACCGCCGTTGTTCCCGTTCCTAGGAACAGCGTCCCGGAACGCTACCGGGAGAACTGCAACCGATCGGAACGTATACTTTCTTGAACATGATAAGCTAATTATATATAAAGAAGTTCGCGAGATAAGAAAATATTTAAAAATGAATTGAATTTGAAGGGACGAACTGGAACTTTAACTAAAACCAGATTCAAAGCAGTTAAATTATAGTGGTTTGTTTTGTTTATACCGAGGAAATGTTCATCTGAAATTGTGTAAAATTAAATACTTCATTAAACTACCGAAAAAAAAAATACATTTAATTGAGTTATTAAAATATTTAGATTAAAATAAGTGTATACGAAATCGAGATTAATTAGAAGGATTTTTGAAAACATGACAATGAGAATTTCTCTGTACATAGATAATATATTCATATAAATATTTATTATGATTGCAAAATCAAATATAAATAGTGTATACTGAGAAAAATGTCTGATTGAAAATGAATGAACCAGAAGATTCTAATTATGTTAATTAGAATTTTTGGTTATCTTAACTATAATTTTAATAGATTTGAACAGAAAATTCTAATTCGTTCATTTTCAACTAAAATTTCAATCAATCCAACCAGATTTTGTTAATATAAAGCAAAATCTTTTTTTTTCTGGTTTCTCTCTCTATAATTAACACAAACAGCGTCAACTAATCATACAAAATATATGTAAGATCCAAGTTATTGGACTATAAATTATACATATATATTTTGTAAGTGTAAATTTACTAATTCTTTTTACTTAAACATTAGAATATTCTTTTAAATATTTTATTCCAGCTTGTTAGAGGTGCTAGTAGAATGATAATGTTTCATTCCAGAGTTGTCAACTGTCTATCAAAACTGTTGTATAAAAACCGTTGCCCCTTACATTTGACATCTTCGCGAAAGTTTTCATCGCCGTTAGATATTGTTCGTTATTTGCGAACTTGGCTAACTATAGGTTTTGAACTTACAGAATTTTCAAGTATCTACAGTCTCTAGCGACTTCATGAATTCGTAATTGTCCGACGGACGCGAACGAAAGTCCATCGCAGTGAAGAAAGCCGGTTATAAACTGGCGAGCAAGAGAAACTTATGATGTCAAAAAAATAGTAAACTGTATTAGTTATGCTGCTTTCACACTTGTATGCAGTTTATTATCTATACTTACATTTCGACTTATTTAATTTATAGGGTAAAGCGGGATAATTTGAATAGATTAACAAAAATTTTCGAATTGTATGAAAGATTGAGATCGCATAGTGTATTCAATTAAATATACAAAATATCAAGTGCACAATTGTTTTTTATGTTTGATTGAATACGCTGTACGGCCTCAATCTTTCATACAATTTGGAAAATTGTGTTATCATATTCAAATTATCTCATAAAATTCTCATAAAATTTATCTTATAAAACGATGATAGATAATACATATTATATATAGATAAATAAATAGGAAGAATATGTTACAATAATAAGTAATATGCAAAAATATATACAGGGTGTGTTACCAAAATCCAAACAAATTTCAATTTAAATTTCCAGCCATTGTACCTCTGCCAGAGGTCGTTGTTGACGTCCAAAAAAGCCTAATGCTGCTAATAAACAGTCATTACCTCAAAATGACCGCGATATTGAAACGAAGCGCGGTTGCGGAGTATAATCGAAGAGCTGCGATTATTCAAGACCTTCACGCTGGGCGCTCAACAATGGAAATAATTCAGTTTTTTGAATACTCGAGATCAACCGTTTATGACATTGTGGTAAAATATACGGCTTCAGAACAGTCTAACGAAGGTTCCAATATGCCAGCGAGGAAGAATCACTCGAAAAAACGCGAGAACGACTTCCGCAATCGTCGAAAGGACTCAAACGCTGATTTCGGATGATCCAGGGTATCGTTGCAAAAATTAGCATCGATAGTTGGTGTAAGCGTACCAACAATGAGTCGAATGCCCAGGAGGACCTTCGATACAAATCGTACACACTAAAGATGCTCTCTGAGACTGACAGGACAAAGCGAGTTGCTTGCTGCAATCTGCTATTGTCTATATATCCTTGAAAAACGAAACATCAGGTTCTTTTCTGACGAAAAAATGTTTACTGTTGATATCAAAATCCATCAGAATGATCGCTGACTCGTTCACGATCCCGAGGATGTTCTCGGACATCGGATGTTACCACAATGAAATTTCTGGTCAATGTTCACGTCCTAGATGTTGTGTCCAGTGAGGATGATGTCATGCTACCGCATTTCTTTAAAAAAGGGGAAAGTGTCACAAAAGAAGTATACGTGCGCATTCTGATGAGTGAAGCCGTGGATGAAAACTGTAGTGTCCGGAAGGCCATGTTTTTCAACAATGTATGTAGTTACACGCATTATAATATATTATTATAATTATGTATAAAGCAATTGCGATATATGAAAAATATTTGTTTTATTTTCACGCAATTCTTTACTTTCTCTTCCACTCTCTCATTAATTTGCTTTTGCACTCAAGTTGCTCTCTCTCTCTCTCTCTCTCTTTCTCTCTCTCTCTCTCTCTCTCTCTCTCTCTCTCGAAATTATTGCAAATAACAAAGAGATAACATTGTCGAATCACAGGTACGCTACTATAATAGAAAAGAAATTGGTCGCACGTGCAAGTCACGTGCGACCGCAATGTCGCGGTAAAAGGGTTGCGTTCCAGGTTAACCACTTCGGCGACATTTGGCCCTGTCGAGCAAACCTGTAATTATGCGTATCGTAACAAGTACGATCTGATTTCTCTAATATATTATTAAGCGTCAGATAATAATTTAATAATGCACTGTGACTCGCAATATGTTTGCCGGATGCACGCTCCGTTTTCTAACCCGACAATATTTACTGTAATTTTATATAAAAGGGAATAAAAAGGAAGTGTCACCTGTTTTGAATTGAATGTATTTTTATCATGACGTGAAAATCATCTCGAGAATCGTATAGAATTCATATCTATTGTAACAGAAGGTGTACAAAGAGGGAAAGTTATTTTACAAATAAAATAAAATTCCAACAGTTATTTATATTACGGAAGAGCTTCATGAAATTTATAAATGAATATTATAAATGAAATATAAATTGATATGTCTTTCAACAAAAATGATTTAATATCTTTGACACGAAAAATACCGATTTGTATTTTTCCTGCAATAATTGTGATATGAAAATTGTTTTCTTAGCGACAATAATAATTATTTATTTATATTATTTAGAATTATTAGAATTACTCTTATTACAATATTTAATATAATACTATAATAATTACTTTTTATATCGTATAACGAATAATCGTATTAAATTATAATTTTTCTGTTTCATATATTTTATAGAATTTAAAACAGTATTTTGATATTCAATAACACATAAATTCACAGAAGAGGTTCTCTTTTTGATAATGCCGACAGTTAATAAACTAAGCCCTGTTACAAATATCCTTACATTTCCGATTTCAGATCTCATCTATAACACACCGATAATTAGTAGTTCCGAAATAACGAAGTGAGGGTACGTCGAATCCGAATGAGTTATAGGTCCATCTGTGATGCGTCTCTAGAAAGAATCGGGAAAACGGTGTTACCAGTTCCCACGATTGTAATTAATATCCCCATTCATTAATAATTGCATCTTGTGTTAACGTTTTTCGCGTGTGATATCACACGTGTTAAAATAATTAATATATTTAAGCTGATGTTTTACATTATACATATAGTGACGTATATACAAATAATTCTTCTAAAAAAAGAAAGATTTAATTTAAATTTCATTTAAAATACAATAATTTGAAAAATAATAATTTAAATATAAATACAAAAATATGAAATTAAAAATCTAGCTAAAAAAAATTATCATCAATATTTTGGTAATTATAAAAAATTTGCGTATTATAGTGTTATAAAATATTATTTATAATTAATCATTATCATTAAATTGTATTTAATTTGTTGCTTTAGAACTCATTTTATAATTCATATCAGATTATTGGATAAAATCTTAATTATAATTTTTATGCTATATATTTACATGTATTTTAATAACTATGTATTATTTTATGATTCAATTATTTCTTGTATTACACAATATATAACATTGCAAATGGAATAAAATTTTGAATTTTGATACGAATTACAATTAATGGCTTAAAAAAAACAAAGAATTATTTCTCTCTTTTTCCTTTGCTAATCACGTATACTTCGATCGAACGTAGCCGCAGCTTGTTTCGGTATAATCCGAAATGAAAATACTGCGTCGGGACGGCTCCATTGTCCGGTAGAATTTTTGATCCTCGAGATCGAGAGATAACTAAAGGGGATTTAAATGGCAAGCTCGCGTGGCCACGTGTATGCGCTTAATCGCGATTCCAGCGATGACGAGACTCGCGCAATCTCGCTTCTCGCATCGACAATTGAATAAATATTATCCCTACGTCGAAAAGATTTGTCGTCACCGTTTACAATATAAAAAAACCCATAATGCTATATAAAATGTGTTAAAACTTTTGTCGCATTTCTTTGGGATATATAAACCGAATTAACAATTAATTCATTTATATTTTTTTTTAATTATTTTAAAATCTATCTTACTCAGAAAAAAAAATTTTAAAGGAGAGAAGTAAAAATATTTTCAAGATATATGCTCCAAAGTCTTTGTGTACCAAATTGTATTTTAGTGGTTGCTGTGATAAAAAAATTTCGTATAAACTATTTTAAGTGATAAAAGACGAAGTTACTGAAATTTTTAACGCAATTTTTATTGTTTTATTTGAAATTAATATATTTGTAATTTGGAATATACT